AAGAATTTTGGTTTGACTTCTAAATATCAAGATGTCTTACAAATGTCACATAGAAAATACAACTGTAGCATTAGTAAATTAGTAAATAGACCTATGAGAAATAAACTTATCCTCGGAAATGTGCGTGTACTAAAAACGGAATTTTTTCTCAGTTAAGATGTAATCGAATTCCTACTCCGAATTTCTTTTTCTCACTGTTCAAAATATTCTGGGGAATAGTATACAATAGGTGTTTCAATTTACAGGGTTCTGACAAACGTAAAACAGTAGAAAAAGTTGTGTATTAGGGAATATTTTATTGTTAAATCCCGAAAATACGTTTTTATTTAGACTAATATAGCAATCGCAAATAAAAATTCCCCGCTTGGCAGAGCTTTAACGTCTTCTTCTATTGAATACCTTCCTTTATAACCGAAAATCGTTTTATCGCATGTCAATTTCATAACACTTAAATAATTGAGAAATACTTCGCTCACAAATGTAGTATAAATATTGATATTTCCAATCGTATTGGCCTACGCGCTTTTACAGTCTCACAAGCAGTTGAGTCCTTATGGACTGTGGAAGTCTTCTTTGCATGATGCATTGAAAATGTTTCACAAGGTTCCGCGACTGCTTTTACTTATGTAGGTTTTGCCATCTGCCTTAAAGTTCAGTCAACGGAGATACCATATATCATAATAAAGTTTGCACAAAAATGAACTAAATGCCGTAATGTTTGATAACATCCTTTTTTAAGGCGCCAAAACGATGCCGCACGAACGATAAGTTTTACTACCATCCCGGATAATGCGCAGTGATTAATTGCGAGCGAAATTGTTTATACTTAAGCAGACCTTCGCCACATATAAACCGATCAGTATTATCGTTTCTATCGTATTTCGATGGCAAAAGTACAAGGTAATTGGAGCTGGGTGTGGTCTCATTTGCTGAAAAAAAGGATAACGCGAATACTTGGCCCAGCATGAACTGATGTCTAATAAGCAGGCTTAACTGAGGAAAACTTTGTATCGTTTGATCAACAGCGCCACAGTTGTGGCATTGAGAATGAGCCGCAGTGGTCGGAGTTATCCCGCCGGCTGGTAATCGTGAAAGTCACGACGATGGCATGTGATAGGTCCAAACACTCTTGATATAGTATAGCGAGGAGCGCGCCAGATAGATACTATTTCATATAACAGTGACCCCTGGAGTCCCCCAGTTGGTTAGTGATGGCATTAGAAGTAGTGCCTACAGTGAATTAGAGAATTCGCTTAACGCACGCCAGAGGCAAGCCTGACGACTAGAGAGAATCTGTGCCATCGTGCGGGCGAAGGTAAGCCGTGCACCTCCTCTATTACACTGTTTTCGCGTACTTGCACGAAACACCGGCAAGTTTT